GAACTGTACTACCCGACGTTGTATAGTGTTTAAAAATTGGCATAGAAAAGATAATTTTGGTCCGAGACCCTATAGAGAAACAAAACTGATATTTTGCTATTATCGTGTATTGCGAAAAACTGAAGGAATTCAGGTAATTTTTTTCAATTTAGCGGTTTATTTGTACAATGGTAATAAAAAAAAAAAAAAATGAGTACCAATAAACAGATAGTTTAATCAAATATCCTACAGTTTCAATCGTTTAGAGAACAAATATTTTAGCAAAAAAAAATAAAAAATAATGCTATGTGAAGATTTATACTTTATAAAAATGAACAGGCAACAAAAACTCAAGCTACAAATCAAAGATGAACCAAAGAACATGCCTCCGATAAGAATCTTGAGAATCAGTCAAAATATGATATGGGAAAATCCTCTTCCTCTCATGCCTTGCCATGTCTCACAGTACACGTACATTTAAAAAAAAATATCACACAAACCTTTTACCCGCCTTGGTTTCGCTCCCTCCGCCCCTTATCATAAAAGAATTTGGGCATCAGATATCTTCCTGACTATATAACCCTCGGAGATGCAACTGAAACCAGTCACCCGATCCAGCGATGATTGTATGCTAAATCAGCACCCATCTAGCTAGTTTTTACCCGATGCTACCTCGAGATGGTCCGCTCCCCGCTATCTCGCGCGTTCTCTATACCCTCCCGCTGCGCGAATGTTAAGGGGCGCGCAAAAAAAGCCCGGGAGCAATCCAACATCCGCAGCCTGAGTTATTCCGGCTCTCGGCGTCAGCGACCGGTCGTCGTCGCCGGCATCATTTAAATGTCCCCTCGGCCGGCTGGTCTCTCTCTCTGCTTTTTAGTTCTCATCTCTGCGGATCCACCGAGAGACGAAGGCGAAGAAATTGGAGCTGGTATGCGCGCCTTGGTCTTCACGGTAATCGCGACGAGCGTCGTTTGCTTGTTGTCGCTGCTGCTTCAGCTTTTTTTTCCCTCCAATCACGGCGATTTTCACTCCCCGGAATCGTCCTCTCCTCGCGATTAGGCGAGATCGGTGCGCACTCGCGATGTGCCTTTACCCGAGCGCGCCGTGATTGCCTCTGTCAGCGCGATGGTTCATCGATAACGAGCTGGCATAGCGCTACGTTTCAAGGGTGTCGTTGTTGCTTCCCTTCGTTCGTGCTCGCACGGATGGTAAATTAATTTCATCGCGAGGGACCTGTCGTGCGTGGCTCGAGTTTTCACGCGACTTTTTCATCAAAATGCCACCTCTGCACGTGTCTATCGCAATTGTCATTGGTACCAACTCTTTTGCAACCTTTCATTCTCGCCTTTCGCGCACGATAATTATGATCCGCACGATTTGTTCCTCTTGTGTGCTCCACTTAATGTAATCATATTATTTTCTGCGCCGATGCAACTCAAATTTTTTGTGGGAACACGAGACCTTAGACCCGAAAAACATCATCATACATGCCTCATCTGATTTCTCTCCCATTTAACTCCCTCTCTCTCTCTCTCTCGCAATTTCATTCGTTCGGCAAACCGTCGAGGTATAACAGGACTCGTCATCTTCGTTGTCATTCAAGTACTGCACATACAAGCTCGAAAAGCATAATTTAAGCTTTCCTCTCGTTATGCTTGGCATTATTTTCGTTCGAATACGTATACGTAGGGCGAATCTTTGGATCCGTTGTTCCGACAAAAGGCCGAGAACACGAATGAAGGAGGAGACGGGAGGCGCGCATAAAAAGGGACCTCGCGGCAGCGATGATTGAAAAAATATCCGCGGCCCCCGAGAGAGGAATATATATACACGCATGTGCCTGATTCCCTCGGCGGTGCCTGAGTGACGGCCCCGTCGGCGCTTTTGCCGCGATGTAGATTTGTTTGCATTTAAAAATCAAATCGTCAGCCCGCTCCCCTCCACCCGCGTCCCTTTTCCCTGTTATGCGGGGCGAACGGTTCGGTAGGTGGATGTAGGTCGGGTAGGTATGCACTCCTGGAGGGCGGGGAGGAATAAAAGTTCCGTGGCGAGAGGGACAATGCTTGGCCAGTTTTTGCGTTGTTTGCCTCCTTCGGGGGGGGGGACCCCTTTGCCGGGCTCCTCCGCGCCCGCTCTCGTCATCCGTCTTCCTCGAATTCTCGTCTCGTCTCTGCTACTGTTTGTCTTCATCGGGTTCTTCTCTCTTTCGGCGGAGGAGTGACGAAACTGAAAATCCGGTGGAATCCGGGGAATGCGGAGCCGAGACGACGAGATGGGCTGCCGTTGCTCTGGCGGCTGGGGTACGTTTGAGGATGAAAGTGAAAAGTCGAGGGAGAGCGCGAGAGGCGAACGGAACTCTTTTGCCTCCGTCGGTGTTGGGAGGCCAAAAATGTCATTGTTCCGATTCAATTTTGACTCTTCGATGCTTTTTTTGTTCCATTTCCAAAGCCTTGCGTCATCGCTCTCACTTTCAATTTTATTTCGTTTTTTTTTTTTTCACCTAAGTTATGACATATGTACGGATGGTTTTTTTTTCTTTTTTACATCATTTGATGGTTTCACAAGCTCAAATGTGAAGGCACCATCATGAGATATAATAACAAAAAAGCTACTGAGAATACTCATTCACTCGCAATTTAATTAAGGCTGAATTTTATCGTTAATTTTTGTACGATGACATAATATTCTCAATTTCTGAAAAAAATAGTTGTCAATTACATGTGATATAGTTTATCAGATTTATTCATATCCCATCCTGTCCCACACTTCTCTTATTCTTACACTTCCTCTCACACTTCCTAACTTCTATAAAGTACTATTATGATTCAGTTAATTTGATTTACTTAATTTTTTCTCAACTACATTACTTGCTAATTGTCGTCAGTTTTTTCTTCTAATTTTTTCTCCATTTACTTCATTTATACATATTCCACATTTTTATGCTTCTCGATTTATGATTTATTTATTTACCCGTTTTCTAATTACTGCACAAACTCAAATTAACGTTCTAAATGTTTTCTTTGGTTTATATTACTTACATAGCCTACTTTGAATTCTTTAGTAATTAACTAATACTCCTCAGATTCAATTTACTATATAATCACATAATCGGATATTCTTATACTTAATCTTTTATTAATATTGTTTACGTATTCTTCATTTGATTGCATTTTTTTAATGCAGCACCAATAGTATCATGTTTACAAACGTTATAATCTTCGTTTTCCAACTTACATTAACTAGCCTATTATCTTTGGTACACAACTATTGTCTGCATATTTTAAGGTTTTTGTTTCTCAATTAAATTTAAGTTCTTACTCTATCCACGTTTTTATAATTTTGCGTGTCAAGGAACCAAAATTTAAAATAAAAATCCATCTGAAATCATTCATATCTCTTGAGATCATTTCTATCTCCAGAGTCCACGATTTCTTCCGCTAATCAAGATGTAATACTTACAATTAAATAATAAAATAGCATGATTTACGTATCCTTTTTATTACCCTTTTCAAAAGAATAACATTAAAGTTTTATGTTAAAGAGGTAAACCCAAAAATTTGAACAGTTTGACGATTTCTCGACAAAAGTCGATTTTAACTGGAAAAATGGTTTTATAGCACTTAATTTTTCGATTTTATATCTAAGGATAAGGTGGTACATAAAACTTACGGATTGGAGAAAAGTATTAATTGTATCGTTTGGAACATCAATTATATTGTTATCAAACTTTTTGCTCTAATTATAAATGTATCAATGGTGCCTCGTATAAAATGAAACTTGTACAATTCTCCGACACCTTTACTTTTTACATTAATAATTTTCTCTCGTCAATTTGACCATTTACCTCAATTCAATAAAGTTTTTCATACAATGTCCTTCGATCACACTCCACGCAGTATTGCAACAAAGTTTCATTGAAAATAATACAATAAAAAACGAGCTCTCACTGTCATATACGCATATACATAATGCATACTCCGTTTACCTCGCATCACAACTTTCTCATCGAAAACAATGTACATGTATCGGTAAACAAGCATCGGGGCAAAGGAGAAAACCGACAAATTAATCCTCCAAAGAGCCGCGGCCGCTCATCAAAAAACCAAGGCAAACAAGCCGAGTCACAAAAATATACACACGCAACGATAACGACGAGGCACATCCCACACCCAGTGCGTACAATCGATATGTGGGAAAGAGTCATCGAAACTAAATAAAGAAAATGGAAGCGCGTGTCCCCACGTACAGTCGAGAAAACGAGGCGCGCGCGTATACACGTACGCGCATCATACGTATACCGATAATCCCTGCATGGCGCGGTGATAAGGCACGACCCTCTTTCCCTCGCACCTGCGTCCCTATACATGTACACGCTACAAAGAATCCACGTAATGAAATAAAGGAGTAAAAGAGGACGCGAGAGAGAGAGAGAGAGAGAGTTGGTATCACCGCGGAGCGTCGCGCTTATAAGTATATACATCCCCGAGAGCGTCGGCAAAAAGTGCGCAAGGCATCAGAGGCCGCGCTTATATGCAGTAGCGCAATTATGCGTTCTCCTCCTTGCGCGTCCGTACGCGTGTATATCCTCTTTCGTGGGCTATCTATCTTCGATTCGCGCGAACGAGACGGAAAAAGATGACGGATGCAACGAGGGACGGAGACGGGCATTGCCGGCCTCGACGGTGGAAAATATAAATTTCAAATCGGCCGGGGCTGTGTATTATATGGTACGAGCGCTCTGATTTTTGCCGGAATTTCGTTGACTTAATTTCATATCCAATTAGATTACATCAAATCGCAAGTGCCGCGGGAAGAAAAAAAAAAAAAAAAAAAAAAAGAGTCGCGCGGGTTTCTTCTTTTCCCTCCTCCATCTCGTCGTGCTCTTTCCCCGTGGCTTCGCTCCTTTTATGCATTTTGATTCTTCGTATAACGCACGGCTTTGGCGTTGCATGGTTTATCGGCTCTTTCTCCTTCGCTACGGTCATTCTGTTTTCTGTGGCTGACTATGGAAAGAACAGAGGTGGGGTTTCAAAGCGCTGCGAGACGAGTTTCCTCCTGAAATGGAAATGTTTCTTTAGGCGCTGGATATTTATTGATTCATTCGTTTACTTATTCTAAAAATCAATGGTATTAAATTCTATGGTGGCTAAAAGATTGTAAATCTTGCGTGACTAAACATGGGACTTGAGTTTTTGCTTGACCAACATTAAACTTTAGAAATCAGATTCAGCATCAAGTAGTACAGCCTATTGTCTTATGAGATGTAGATACTCAAACAATCAAGTTACAACCACTATATCCTCACCAGTCTTGCCGACAATGGTAGTTACACCCCTAGACTTGTGAAAGGCTAACTCCCTACGCTTCTCCCACTTTACCGTGAAGTCGTTACTCTCTAAAACTGAACAGCCCAGCTGTCTTGTTCAGTATGGTCAATATCAGTAATCACGTCGTAGTCAGGTGCATGCTCAAGACAGTGTTATTATCTGTATCCCTAGAGTAGTCCTCAGTATTTCAGACGAGCATGAGTATGTAGATACAAGTCAAAAACTTTCCACGTATTCAATACTGCTAATACAGTAATGTGGGATGTACTTCCGAATCTTGCATGGACAGATCAAAACACACCCTTGCAAACGTATTCTAACTATTTTTGAGTTGTCTACCGTTTGGAAGTATATTTGTCATTCGTTATCAAAACAAGTGGTTAATACAATAAGTCAAAGTAAACCAAGTCAACCAAACAGCTTTCATCCAGGGTATATCCACTAAATAATCATAAGTATAGCGGTATAAAATGTATTATTTAATCAAAAATACGTAGTTAAGTATTGCTTCAACCTCAAGTCACATCTGCGTATAGCTGATGCAGTACTCTACCTTCTAACCAAGTTCTCATTAATTTTACTCGCAAAGAAAAAAGTGATTGATTCTCAACTCTAAACTGAACAAAGTACACGGAAGATGCACACCGAGAAAAAGAATTGAGATTTTTTTTTTATTTTTTTTTTATTCTTCTCTCAAAGCAAACACGATAACGGGTGTGCAAAGCACAAGACACATCCCCAGCTTTCGGTCAACATCATCGGCGCGTCCATCGATCAGATCGCGCGATTCCATTTATTAACGAGCGAGTCCAACCCGCGATACAATGATGCATCGATCTTGATAAGCCGGCTCGCGCCCCTAAATCATATAATATACGTATACCGGTGTGCTTGTGTACCCAACGAAAGATATCCCGAAAACAAAGCATCGATCATGTAATGGGACGCGTATTGCGCGCACGGCGCTAAAAGCTCCATGCGCGCGCGCCTCTCGAAATTTTCGGCAGAAAAAATTAATCCGTCCCAGTCTAATTGCACGGGACGGCCCTGGCGTATATGGGTGATAAATAAAAGCTCGCAAGAGAGAGAGAGAGAGAGAGCAGAAGAGGGAGGAGTCGGGAGGAAGCAGGGATCGCCAGGTCTTTGGCTTTAAAAAATCTCTTCCGGCGAAAGGGTTGGCAAGAGAGAGAGAGAGAGCAGCTGAGCGCTGGTGGTTCTCTTGGTCTTTTTGTTTCGAGGCGCCGGCTGTGATCGGCAAGAACTGCTGCCGATATTCCCCACAAGGCGATGAAAGGGCTTCGATGGAGTAATGACGGGGCCCGGCTCGTTCGTTTGCTCACGGCCATCACGGCTTGTTCGCTGCGTGTACGTTTTAGGGAACGCTTTTGTCGCTTAGCGAAGCAGCAGGAGCGAAACGGAAAGGTGTGCCTTTTGGAGTTATTTCCACTGCCGAAGAATCGTTTTTACTTTTATTTCAATCGACTCGTAGTTTATCAATACATATACATTGGGTATACGTTTTCAACGGATAGGTGCTTTTGAAATCGATGAATAACCTGTTTATGTCCTTTTAATTTCAAATGATGTAATTGAATAAATAATTCATCGTCGCGCGGAGTTGCGAAAACAATATCCACGAGCTCGACTGGAAATAATGACTCTCGCTGGTTTATAAAAATATTTGCTTGTCCACGCGGGTATTGTGCGCACGCTTGTGTTTCTCAGGTATCTCGATACTGCGTTTGGATGTATATTTATATACGAAAACAGTAAGAAATAGATAAATAAAAGATGCCTTCCTGGTTCTTTCGACCATACCAAGTGATTCTGGGAACTTATACGGGAGACACAATTTTACGATATCATTGTATTTTCTCTCATCGGTATAAGTACACATTAAAGTAATTCAGATCTCAATTTAGATGATTTAATTAATAAATCCAAGCTCAGCTATCGTACATACTGTTGTTATCATCACAATAGTCATGTGGTTCATTATACGCGTGAATGTAAATTTATGCGGAACTAGTAATTAAATTTGTAATAAATAAATGCTAATCTGCGACACCTATATGAACTCTAATGATCTCCGAGTATAATTTTCTGCACAAAGTTGGTTTTCTTTTTTTATTAAAAACTAAAAGGTCAGTAATGCTATCACGAGGAAGTATTGTACATGCTTGTATGCAGCGAAATATCATTCATACAATATGTTATCAAGATTTCTCACAAAGCCTGTATAAAATGTAGAAAAGCGCGTAAATCGTAAATATACAAACATGATGAATTGCTGCTGTTTAATTATATCCTCCGGTTAATTGAATGAAGATCGCGAGATACAATTAAGTTAACCAACACTCTACCCCCGTTCCACACAGCTGGAAGAGAAATCCTCTCGAGAAAGCCGACAATTTGCAACAACGTATACCAGCCTGCAGTTTGAAATTGAAATTCATCTTTTCGCATTTTGATTCTACAATTACCCGCGGATAATCCCCGCACGATATGATGATCAATAAAAAATAAAAGAAGAAGAAGAAAAAAAAACAGGAAATAAGCATGGGAGGACGATCGATGTGTACCGGCATGAGATCCCTTACCCAGCCCGACTGCTAATAGCCCTGCATTTAAATATTATCAATGAAATTGCGGTACACCGGTCATTAAAACTCATACTCGCAGGCCCGTGTATATGCACTCGCGGGCGCTTCTTCGTCTTCTTCTTTAATCGCCGTTGTCAACGCTAATCGACATCGACGTGATTTAATTTCGCGTCCGCGCTGCTGCTTTACAAGCGCTATACGTTATACCTACACACATATACACACACACAACTGACCTCTTCCTATCGAGAGGATGCTGCACTGGTTCTCTTCCTTTATTTTTTTTTTTTTTTTTTTTTGTTTTTTCTCCTCTTCGTCCTCCGCTCTCTCGTCAAACGCGAATTATTGGAAGTGATGTCAGGTAATGCATGTGAGAAAGCTTCCACGAGAGCTTATTCCGATTTTTTTAAGTACAACAGTGTACTTTTTTTGTAGGCTCTCTCGAGCTAGTGTACGATTATTGCCTCGTCTTTTTTTTTTTATTTTGCAAAATGTGGGATGTGAACTTTTTCATTGTATAAGGGGAGTAAAAAATGAGTTTTAAAAATAGTTGGTTAGGTGTTTTTTTATATAAGAAATATAGCGTAGAAACAATTTTAGAGTTTATTATCGTTATTTTCTCCCAAGTTCAAGATTATTTTATACATCACTTTCAGCTACATTTAACGTAGGCCTTGATAACATTATTTTATTTATTATTTTAATATGATTTTAATTTTTTACGAATATTTTACGAATAACATTAATTTAACATATCCTTCCAATAACTGACCATTGCGATATAAATGTTTCGCACATTGTACTCCAGAAATTTAGTGGTTTATCATAATATGTCCTTGGATATCCTGCGACAATGTCGTCATTATCTGCTATTTTTCCAGTCACGTTACCTTCAGCAATCATTAAAGTTACTTATTATTATTTTAAAACATTTATTGCATTTGTCGAATCCACGATTTTTAAATAAGTGCCTACCTTGAATGAGATCTTCCATGCTTGTGCTATTGATTTTGTTATTGATCCAATTGACAAACGATGAAATTCTGATAAACTTTTTATTATTTATAGAAAGTCCAACTAATACAGTCTTGTTTCCATTTTTCTTAACTAAAATACCGTATGGAGTGGACTGAAAAATAAAAACGATTATAAATAAAGTATTTTATATTTACTTGGAAAAAAAATCATGTATTTTCCAAGACGTATTTATCTTTGGAGTAAATAACAAAAAATTTTGGTTCATCCACTATATGGTTATCTTTATTGTTTTTAAAAATTTGCTTAAAAAACTGATTCTCCACGAAATAAATCGAAAAAAATCTTAATGCTTTGTAATGATTATAAATCAACCAACTGTAATCTTGCTGGTATACCACTGTCATTTCCATTTTTTTACTAAAAATGTTATCATTATCTCGAGTTTCCTCGAATTGAGGCAGATTCACGACATTTATTAAGTTGTTGAGTATAACGTTTTGTTGTAGCTGTACGATAGCGATGCTGTAGGATATATCGCTAAAAAGAAAAAATATTTGGCAATTTTGAGCTGCGTGTTAATTTATCACAAATCGTACAATCAATTGTAAATGAGTGTCTTACTAAGGTACGTATTTCTCGTGAGTAATAAATTTTTTGATTCTGATGAACCGTGCGCTGTTCTGAAAATGAGAATCCCGGAAATTAAGCGCAACATGTAATCTAGTCAACTCGTCAGGTCCACATGAAGCGCTTGTCACGGCATAGTTTTCCTTGACAAGTGCACCAGCACAATAAATGTCTCTTGCTGTATTGTCTACAACTCTTACGACAGCAACGTAGTATGGAAATTGCTCTTTATCAGCCCAACCTTGGTCAGCCTTGACAACTTGTTCAAAATGCAATTTTATTAATCTCGTAATGGTTACAAACTGATAAAAACTAAAAGCTTGAATTTTTCCTCCCTGATTTTTAAACAATCACGGCTAACTTAAATGAAAGTATTTATAGTAATTCAAATTTAACTTATATTGAAACTTAGTTATTATATTCATGGCAGTACCAATGATTAACCAACAAATACTTACCTTGACTAACTAAAAGTGCTGCAAAGATTTTGAGAAGAGCCATCGTCTCTAGAGGAACACAAAGAACGAACGTTGATTTTTTTTTTTTAGTTTGTAGTTCGTGCAATAAGTAAATCGCAACATGTATTCGGCACGTCGTACAAGACTCGTAAATTCTTTTTTATAAAGCCTCGAATTAATACGTTTTTAATGTTTTTTCATTGTTCGATAATCAATGCGTTATCAATGGTTTTTTCAGATGAAGTCACCAGGGAAAATTTTTTGGATGAATTTTATCTTAACCCAAGAAAAAGATTAGAATAAATCATTTTTCAAAAATTTTTTTTATACAATTCTGCTTAATGAAGTATTAAAAACCCTTAAAAAATATATATTGAGCCCCTATTAAGTATTCATACAATGTTTTGTTAATGATTCGAGCAACCTTTTGTTCATTGCCATCAGACACGTGTCACAAGCTAATGTACTACCCAAAATTAGTTCTCCGACGCATACCAAAAATCTGCATTCAATTCACACTCGCGCACTCGTTTAATTGTTTATTCCTTTCAGAATTTGCAATCTGACATGCGCGTTTGTGCACCCGTGAACCGCACAAGAGAGCAGTTTTACGCCGAGTCACGCCATACTTATTACTTAGATAAATATCCAACGCAGCCCTAATTAATTTCTCTATCTCTCTCTGTTTCTCCTCCGTGTATACCCTAGAGCGTATACAATGCCGCACTCGCCTGTATGCTAATCCAAAATATCTGGCGCGAGACGCAGATAATGTCGGTCGATATCGTTACTAATTGCCACGGCAACTTCTAAAGCTCGACCCTCCGCGTTTAATTACAATAGATTCGTACATGCTCGACAAAAGCCTTAAGATAGCAGAGCAAGGGCAGAGGGCGAATCACACGTACGTGTCCTGCGCACGTATAAAATTGCTCGTATAGGTATGAATGTGAATGTCACGGCCAATACATAAGCATTGCGTCAATGGATTTCTCAAGTGTGATTGCGAATGAACTATCGAGTACTCGGAATCTATTTGAATAAACTCAGATTTGACGTTTAGGCTAATCGGTGCATTGATTTTGAACACGATATCAGAGGAGACAAAAAGAACGAAATTCCATCTCGTTCGGTGCACTTGTCCGAGGGTACAAAAAGAATTCTCACACGCTCTCTCCCCCTATCATGTTCTCGTTCAGCGAGATTCCTGCCAGCGCGTGCCGTTTTAACGCGCGAATAAAAAAAAAAAAATAAAAAAAAAAATCAAATCCCAACGGCGGACGGAGTACCAGGGCACGTCGGCGCATCGTCAAAGAGCCCAGGATGAGGGCAAAGATGCGTATCTCCCGGTGTCCGTCCACCTTCTCGGATTACCGCGACCAGAGCGAGATCGAGGGACTCCTGGACGGGGACTACACCTCCGGGACGCATCATTCTCACGTCCAGCTGCGTAATAAACGCAGGCTCGTCTGATCCCCGCGTGCGCGCGAATTTGTGGGTATGCACCGCGCGAGATCCACTTGGGTGACAACTTGGCCGAAATTGTGCGCTAAGCAGCCCCGCGATGAAGAGATGCTTTTTGGCGAGTCGGAGTAATTTAGGGTGATTACTTTTGGAGACTCGATTCTTATCAGATACGTGGAAGAATTCACGTCACGCTGGACTTTTGTAAGAGTAAAATTAGCCTAATTGTGTAAACGTTACCCGGAATTTTTTCCATTTACAAATGAATGACAGCAATAGTGGTGATGAAAAAGAAAAAAAAAAGTTACATTTGTTCGTACACGTCTTATTTTGCGCATTCGGCGAACGAAACCTGCTTCTCGAACAGGAAAACCATGTATGTATGTATGTAAATGGTTCCGAAAACTACGGCAAAATCTAGCAATTTGCCGCAAGGCGCGTCCACTCGAACGAATCTATACTTCGAAAGCCCAAAAAACTACAGGATGTAGTTCAAGGTTTTTTTGACACACACGTAAGCGCGGACCCCCGCTGAAGCTCATTCTCACGAAGCCGCTCCGATGACCGGCTTCCCGGAGCCGGCAACGCGAAAATTACACTCTCCCGAGAAACTCGGAGCGTTAGACAGGGTCACGCGATCGGGGCCCTCTCGATATATTCTAACGCGCGAGTGCGCTTTTGTGCACATACGTCCTTCCCAAAGACACGAATAACAATTGACGAAAAAAAACAACGTGTGTGTGTGTGTGACTCTTGCGTTTGGTGGCAATAATAAATTTCGGGGAACAAATCGTCCCTGAGGTCACACTCGTATACCCCTACGGGGATATAAAGGCGGTGGGTTTCGTGCGCGAATATAATTTGCCGGTCCTTTTGCGTCCCCTTCCACGCCCCCGATGTGTGTACGGGTCACGTAAATAATCTTTAACCAGCCCGATTACCATCTGGGACAAACGAGCCTCGATCTCCTTCGGTTCATTCGTTATTCTCTCGGCCTGTGTATACACATACATGCGATCTCTCCGCTCGTCAAAGAGGTAATGACGATTCATTTTAATAAATAAAAAAATAAAATAAAATAAAAGAAAAAACCACCGACCGATGTACCAAAGCCACCCCGGTGTGTGTATGGTAGTCCTCTCTCTCGAGAACAATCGTCTCCCTGGGCAAATTAAATGCATCGGACGCATCAAGTATATAACGCACGATTGTAAGGAGCAGAGATGAGGGGCCTATCAATCTGCGGCAGGGCACGAAATAACATCTCGAAATCAAATGCGGCCCATTACGAGGGCCCGGTATATATAACAATCGCATCGCGGTACCTATGTGTGTGTGTAGCCACATGCGAATTCGCTCTGACGCGAAAAGGGGACGAAAAAAAAGAAGAAAAAAAAAAAAAAGAGCGCACGGCGGAGGAGTCACGTTCGAGCAATACTCCTCGGCTGCCTCGCTGAAACACTATGATTACCCCCCCGTGTGGTGTGTATGTATGTATATACGCGGTCGATGATGCCTATATCCCTCTGTGTGTGTGTGTGTGTGTGTGTATTACATGCCTAAGTCGAGCGCGATTGTGTGTGCATCCAGGGCTGCTCGGTGGAGCGAAAGAGGAGATGAAAGGGAGGTCGGTAGGAGCACGGGCCGAGTAGCGTCGAACGAGAGCCACTCTCGAATTAATCGGATTGTTCTGCGGCGAACCGCTTATTAGGGAGGGAGGGAGAGGTACAGATGGGGGACGCCATGCAAACTCGGGCGGAGGCCCGCAACGAGGGGCCTTGTACGATCTCGCCGCGATTATGTATCCGAGGGGGAGTTTCAACTAGTTTCTGCATCTCCTTTTAAATCATCGAGGTTTCGTGATGGCGAATCGATCGACGAATAATAATCGCTATACGAGCTTTTACGTATATATACCCAATATAATTTGTGTGTGTGTGTGTATGTGTATACGTACTCCGTGAGAATATCCGTGGTGTACCTACCGTCGTCGTGTATTGTTTTTTTTTTTTTTTTTCCCGGTTTTTTTTTTTTTTTTTTTTTTTTTTTTATTTTCATCCTATCTTTCTCGCGAGGCTTTTATCGATGAATTACGCCGCAATAAATAAAATGAAATTTTGTTTTCTGACTAATCTTACGGGCGAGAGCTGTAAATTATTACGTTTCAATGGAGTCGTATGGCACCTTGCAACGAATTATCGTGAATTAATATTGAACCGCTGATAAAGACAGCGCCTGTTTGAAAGCAGATAAGACTCGATAACGTCCTTCCACTTCTCTCATGTTCCTTTTTTTTTTGCTTGACTTGGCGTTATCACAGTAAAGATGAGTGCTGATCGAATGACGGGGAACCTAAAAATAAAATAAACATTAGTACATTTGTAAAATCAACAGCATACGCCTGTTTGTACCGCTGGTTCTTTCAAAAGCAGAGGTATTTTTAAGAAATTCGTGTATACCTTTGTCATCGTCTCGTGACGCAATTTTGTGGATGGAAGCAAAAAACCAGTCACTCGTCTTTCATCTTCATCGATGCTCTGGTGAACCTGAAAAAATTACGTTGTTCAAAATTTAATATTATTTTATGAACATTGATTATCATGACACCACAATTTACTTTGTACTTTGTACACAGGAAGAAAAAAGTTCGTCAATCCAAAAAAAAAACGTTTTTTTCAGTACAAAGAAACAAATATTTTTTTGAATAAAATGAATATTAAGTTAAATCTATTAAATATTATACGTTACAAACAAATTATTTATTTGGATTGACGAATTTTTTTCTTTAGTGCATGAAATACATTGGTTGAAAGTATTGAAAAAGTGTATTTCAAAGAGTAATACTCAAAGTAAAAAGTTTTCATGTCAGAACCCAATACACTTGGCTATAAGTATTGACTAAATCAAACGAAACATAAAATTAAATCCAAGACATCCAGTCAAAACAAAACAAAAAACCTATTAGTTTCTCTCCCGCTTTTATTTTTTTTTTTTCCTTTAATCCTCGCGCCAGAAAAATCGCTCATTAAATTTCAAAAAAAAGCCAGCCCCGATGAATTATTTACTCTATTATTTACTGCGTTTTAGCCGCGGCAAAAAACTGCTAACAAAATCAACAAGTTCTTCCCTGAGCCGTAGACATCGACGACGACGATGCACCGCATTCCCATTTCCGAAACAATTCTCTTTCATCAATCGTATACCCGCGCAACTGTACTTTCCGCCTGCGGGCAGTACATGGCAACATATCCACACTGGAATATCATCAGGTGCAGGATATCATCCGTCCTCTCTCTCTCTTTCTTTCCGTCGTGCGCGACTTAGACGGTTCGGACGTGAAACTGGATAAACCCCTCCTATATATACGCGTCTCGCGGCGTTGGCAAAAAAACACCTGGATAGCTCCGCGTCTCGTCGCGGACGACCGTCGCGTGTAAATATATTATAAATAAATCGGTAGTGCAGATTTCGCGGAAGTCCCAGACTCTCTCTCGCTTTGGATCTTTAAACGTAGGAGAGGTCGTTGTCGTTGTTGTTGTTGTCCTCGTCGTTGTTGTTGTTGGGACTATTGCATTATGCATTTGCGTGAGGCTCTGTTGCAAGCGGGAATTACTATTTTACGCGGCCCTCGCTTATGAGACGAGGCCCTTGCTAGCGCGCATTGGAGGAATTTAACGGGTTGATTTATTAGACGCGAGCTACTCATGGCTTGGAAGGGGGAGGAGGGGAACTTGATTTTTATAACGCACTGAATTTCGCTCATCGGGGAAGAAATGATCGATCGTGTTCGGAGCGTGTATCTATATGTATATATTCATTCGTTGCTTAACTGGTTGGATACCGGAAAAGTAGTTTTCAGTTCTAAGCTTTTTAAAAGCTTCACTTTTTTGGCGGTCCTGGATTGAAAGTAGCAAACGTGGATGACTTCTTGATGTAGGCAGTGAATGTAAGCATTTCATGAATTTGTAATACAATGTTGAGGATAATATTTTTTTTCTGGCAGATATAAGTAGGTACAGCTTATTGTAAGGTATTTGAAATCAAATATTTAAATACTTTTTCGCATACTTTGACTATTATTTTTCTTAAATTTTTTGTTTTAGATTTCAATTTTTTATGGCAACCTATCGTATAATAACGAGGTGGAAATTAAAAACAATTTTTCAGCGTAAATAACGTGTTACACTGTTTTTACTATTTTTTTTTTTAAATAAAATGTTTTGTAATGTCATCAAGTAATTATTTTAATTTTCCATCGTATGTTTTATTTAAAAAATGTTTTAACTCTGTTGCACTTATTTTTTTCCACGTTTTCCATAATTTTATTTTTAGTCAGAGTTCTTTGTTAAAAATGTCTTACTTGTAGTATGTACCTTTCAAAACCATGTAAAATTATGGTAAATGATTTATCTTAAAACTTGGAGAGTTACTGGAATATGTTATGCATTACATACGTGTACGTTGGCTTATGAACACGTTAATAAGCGTGTCGAGTAATTTATCATCCAAACTGTATATATCTTTGACTTACTCGTACAAAAGGTATGTAATTATTATTACACCAACTTTGCAGTTTTCTAATGGAACTACTTCACTGATCTTCATTTTATTTAGGTTAAGATGAAGAATTAAAAAAAAAATAAATAAATGATAAGTAATGGAAAAAAATCTTAATTTTTGATTGCTCATAGTAAGTTACACTTGACGTGCATGCGAACTCGCAATAAACAATCCCATTCATTAAAATTGTAAATGTATTTTACCTAAAAGATAACGAATGATTTTCTAATGTATAATCAACCAGGAGAACTTAACGTGCTTATGTTAATACTTTTTTTTAATGCTTGGACGCGTACTTCCTTCGTCTGAACTTCACTTGAGTATTACAATTTTTTACCTTTTCCTGGTAAACTCTCACGAAACTAGAATTCCCTTCAATTACAAGATGTATAATTTCTGTTTTCAAAGAGTTATGAGGTTTACCCGCTGTTTTAAGTATATATAGGAAAGTCATTTACTTTTATTGTAGTTTTCGTCAAAACTCGACAAGTAAATTCATACTTATACTATAAAATCTATGGAAAACCGTGGTGTCAGTGAAATTACTTACAATTATTTTTTTCGCAGTTTCTAATAACTCTCGATAAGCAACTTTTGTTTAATACATAATGAAATTCTAAAGACGCTAATTTTTCTAAAAATAATGAAATACTAAAGACGCGCGCATATCTGTGAGAAAAATCATACCGATCATTTATAAATTCAAAAATAATCGGTATTCTGAAAGAAAGGAAAAAAAAAAGGAAAAATTATTAATTCATAACCAACATGTCACAAGTGAAATAAAAACGGCAACTTGAAAAAACTGGCCTGGGCATCGAAACAAAACTATATACCAACAAAACAAAGATATATACTTAGCAAAGAAAATGAGTAATAGCGCGCTCTATCCTCACGTACGCGTCGCAAGAAACCTGTAAGATGTGAAGGGTGTACAATATGTAGGTATACCAATGCGAAGTGATGGCAAAAGGAAATCAGATCCAACAGCCCCCCTCCCCCTTCCCTCATGACAGCCCGTGTCATTACTTCGTTACTTAAGGTACAGAACTATATGCTCGAGAGAAAGAGGGGCAAAATAGAGAGAGGGAGAGAGAGAGAGAGAGACGCGCGCTGCATACGAAACGAGGCTTTTCTCCCGTCGCATACTAGTCGATATTGCAAAAGGCGGGTAAAAACTGGCCGACCTACCCGCCGCTCGGAGGAAAACGTGCACCGGATTGTTTATGGGTATACGCTATGGGCTCACGCGGGGGAAAAGGAGAGCGCGAGAACGAGTCCGTACGTATATCCCCTGGACCGACCGTACCTATATATATGCGTATACATAATCGGCCGATTAACATGCGCGTTGAATATTGATCGATTAGTCGGTTGGTCGGGAAATGCGTTACTTTCGCAACACGAGGGATATATAAATATATACGTAACGGTGTGTTGCATTAGCAGGATGGTAGGGAAAAAAAAAACTCGAGAAGATACGGTCTTTGAGCATGAGGTTGTGGGGAAAACTACATTCGTTTTTGAATGCGACTGCAGCAAGGGACACGCATCAGGACTGTTTTTTTTTTTTTTTTTTTTTTTTCTTTTTTACAAAGACAGTACGAAAAGGCTGTACTGCTGCTATGACGAGTTTTTCTCGAACGCATCATTTTGCACAATTGCCTCGGGTATTTTTGCACAAGAGTGACGTAACTAATGCTATTCGATGCAGCGCTTTTCCACCAGACTCGTTTGCTATTCATGAGCTTTTTTTGCAGAAACTCAACGCTGCGTACAAAAACGTACTCTCCGAGAGATCGATACGCGAGATTTTTCTATATTTTTCTCTCACTAGTATTATACCGGACGGCTGGTTATACCCAAACAAATTGGTGGTAAAAATATTTCCCACGCCGAGCGACGCAACCATATATATATATATTTAACAAAACAATTTGTCCTCCCCGTAAACATTGAATGCAACGAAAATCCTTCATTTTCTACAAAAACAGCTCACACCTTCGTTAAACGGAAAACTTTCGAAAACAAATGTATACGTCCGGACGCAGTAACAACCCCCTCAGAAATGAAAAATAGGGGCGCGAAACGCATTTTACTCGCGGCTTCGTCACTCTCCCTCCCTAGCTGCACGCCTCCTCCTCCTCTATCACTGCAGCCCTCTCCCACTTTCCCACGGAACAATTCGCCGTCTCCCTCTCGCGCGCTACTCCACATCTATATATAGCTCTTCCCTATATACGAGAGCTGGTGAAACAAAACAAACCACCCCCTACCCCACCTCACCCTGGAAATTATGAGTGCTCGCGTACCGCGTGCGCAATAACTGCTTCTGATATGTACGTCCTCGCGCCCCCCTTTGCAACACCAAGGGTATACGTATATACATGTACCTTGGGAAACGCCGGAAAATATACATCTGCTGCGAAGCACGAGTGCCGTGTAGTAGCGGTGCACCCCGTTGTCTTCTCCACTTCCATCCCGGGCCTAGTGGAGATTCTCCAGCGCTGTATACGCACGGTCCGGTCTTCCTCCCTGCAAACAGTACAACCCTCTTTTAGCGCGATTATTTTACAAGGCAGCGACGTTTATTACATTTTGTGCGACAGAATAAAAGGCCACACATGTTTATTTTTTAATAAGGAAGTTATTAGCCATTGGGTATAAATTTATACAAGTAGGTTTGATTTGCGAGTTTTGCGAAGCAAATTTTATAGGTAACCGAATGAAATTGGCTCGCGTGTACGGCGATTTATAACAATTGTAAAACCAAAGAGTGAGTCGTTTGCGAAGCTAATTACGTGGTCTACACCGTGGAGTCGGAGAAAACAAAAGGATCATTTTTATAGGTGAGGGTTGGGTCATTTTTAAATGTATTCGAGCTGTCAATCAGGTGTAAAATCCTTACCGATTTTGTTGCAGGATA